CGCCGGTCCAGCCGCGCCTCCCGCGCGGCGGCGGTGCTGCGACGCTGCCAGCCGGCCGGAGGCGGTGGCGCGTGCGGCCGGCGCGGTGGCGATGGCGTCTCTCGCGTCTGTGTCTGCGTCTGCGGGCTGGTGCCTCGCTCCCCGCGCGCGCGCGAGTGGAGACATGTCCAGGACGCGTCCCGGCATGTCCAACGCAGGTGCCCGGCCTCGCGCGTGCGGGACGAGGCGGTGGAGGCCGCACGCTTCACAGCTGTGAGGAGAGGCGGCTCACAGCGGCGCTGGTGTGAGCAGGCGGAGGAGGCCCGCGGCGCGCGGAAGAGGCCGCGCTGCGACCCGCACGACACTGGGCTGGTCGACGACGCGTCCTCGAGCGAGGAGGGGGCGGGCGGCGCCGCGGCGCGAGCCGCCGGGGGCCGGGAGGGAGGTTTCGCGCCGGTCCAGCCGCGCCTCCCGCGCGGCGGCGGCGGCAACGGCGGCGGGCGCGGCGCTCGTGCGGCGGGCGGGGCGGCGGGGCGGCCAAAGCTGGCCAGCACACTCTCCGCCCTGGAGGCGCGCGAGGCGGCGGAGGAGGCTCGGCCCAGCGGCGGGTCGAGGCTCAAGGAGCGGCTGAGATGGTAAAAGATATGTATGTATCTAAGGAGACGAGTCAAGTTTTTGATATGGGGGCAGCCAAATTCCCTCCTCTTGCGGCGTTAATGAAATTGGACTTTTCCGACGCTGAGGCGCAGGATAGGACGGCAGGGGTCGTACACGACGCAGTTCAGCAGGCTGTGATGCAATACGGCTATGACGACGAGCTCTTCCAGGCGTGGAGGGACGGCGAGATACGGCGAAAGAACTTACCGGAGGAGGTGGTGGCTATGGCTTTGGACCTTTGCGAGAGGTGGCGAGCGGAGCAAGAGCGGTGTAGGCGCGTCCACGCGGCGCAGCGGCTCTCCCGCGACCCCGGCCCCTCTCATAGCCGCAGCCGTAGCCGCAGCCCCAACTCTTGGTCTTGCCGCTCTTCCGTGTCGGGTTGTGAGGAGGGGTGAGGGGACACGGATTGAAGATCCCTCACACCAAGATCGTGCAGGGCGGGGACACATGTCCCTAAATCCCATCTCGTCTCAGAGTTTGCCCGTTTTATTTATTTATTTATGTCGTATAGAAGAGGCTGTGAACAACCGGCTCGAGACATTATGGCGGAGGCTTCCAGCGTGGTGAAGCCGCATCCCCGCCACACACCGGACTGGACGACCGCGCTCTCCACCAGCCGTACATGTATGTGTGCACACGTAGGTGCCGCTCGCGGTCACGCCCGAGTACGGCCTCGTCGTCCTCGTCGGCGTCGCCATGTTCCTGCTGCAGCAGATTGTGCTCGTGCTCCCCGTCGTGAAGCAGCGAATCAGCACCGGGATCAAGGCGCCGACGCTCTACCCGCGCGACGGGCAGATCAAGGAGCTGAAGCTGGCGCCGTACCAGGTGGAGAACTACATGCGCGCGCAGCGGGCGCACCAGAACAACGTCGAGTTCACCTCCGTCTTCATGGCGCTGTTCCTCGTCACCGGTCTCTTTCCCGAAGTGACGCTGCACGTCGCGCTCGCCGGCGCGGCGGCGGCGGCGGCCGCGTCACGCTGCTCAGCACCTTTTCGGAAGCCTCCGGTGGTCCTCTAGGCGCTTGGGTGGTGCTCTTCCGGCTGCTCGGAGGCGTCGGGTACCTGTTCGGCGTGAGGCAGATCGGCTCGCTCTTCCACCTGGGAGAGCTGTACATCCTCTACCTCGCAGCGACGCAGGCCCTCCGCTCTCCCATCCCAGACCACACCCTCAAGCGCCACCTCAGCCGCACATCTGTCTCCTCCCCTGCAGGCGTACGCCCTCGCCACGCCCGCGCTGCCCGGCCTGCTCGCCGCCTGCTCCTCGGCCGTCGCCGCGATGCGGGAGGCTGCCCCAAAGGATTTGGACGAGGTCAAGGCGGGCGCCGCCTTCGCGTGCGCTGCTCCTCTCCCCGCGCGGCAGCCGTGAGCGGCGCATCTTCACACCTCCGAGGCGTGAACAGGTACGCCACTGCCCTCGACTCGCTCAAGACTTTCCAGGCGAGTGCCAGCCTCTCAGGGGAAGGCCTCTCTCTCTCTCTCGCATGACTCTGCGCGGTGCGACGTCGTAGGCGGAGGTGCTGCCCAAGGCGATGCGCCGCGAGCTGTAGAGAGGGCGGCAAGAGGAGGCGGCCAAACCTACCGCCGCCTGGACCCTGCCGCATCTCCCCCGCCACACATGCCGCTCCCCGCCGCGTGCCGCCGCTTTGCTGTCAGCCGCGGGAGGCGACGCGGCGATGGGGGCGAGGTGGGCTCGTGCGCCTCTGAACAAGGCGCGCCGGCCCTGCCTACGCCAGTGCAGTGCTACACGTGTCTTTTTTATTAGCCCGCGACCGTGCTACGTGCATAGAGAGGAGTGGTGCTCTCGCTTGCTTCTTTAAACTGATTGGTGTAACCCCTCTTGCCTCTACACTTCGGAGGCCCGCGCGCGCACGGCCACGGGCGGGGGGCCCGCGCCGCGAATAACGGGCGGGGAATCGGGATCGGCCGTCCAACTCGTTTTCTTTTACTTGTGTTAGTGTTGAGTCTTAGTGTTGTTAGAAACTCAGGGCACATGGAATTTGTAAGAAAGAAGAAAAACCGGCACTGAATTCTTCCTTTCTCGTCGGCTAGCAGGAGGACGACGGCTTCCATCGCCTAAGCCTGCAACACAGCAGGAGCGCAAATTTGCCCCGCCGATCCTGCTCGCGGTGCCTATTTGACGTCGTCTGGCCATGCCCCCGTTGACCAGCGAGGGCTGGGAAAAGCTCTTCCAGCTCGCGGGCAGCGAGCCGGTCTCGTATGCCAAGGATGCAGTGGCGCGCGCCTCCCGAGCCACCTCCGGACCAACTGCTGCTGCTTCTCACCGCCGCGCGTGCACCACGCGACGTCCCCACAGATCATGCAGGACGGAGAGGCGCATGAGTTCGTCTACCGGTTGCAGCAGGGCTCGGTGCCTCAGCCCGCCGCCATCCACAGCTCCAGCGGCTGCGCGGGGCCGGCGGCTGCTCACCATTGGCCTTGGATTGCCCACCGTCAGGTACGGGTGGAGAAGGGCGACCCGCGCTTCAGCGCGAGCCGCACCGCCGTGGCGCACCCCGCTGCCGAATCTCCACCCACACCCCTCCTCTCACCCTCCCGACCTCCCACGCCCGGGGCCC